ACACACACACACACACACACACACACACANATATATATATATATATATATATATATAATATATATATATATATATATATATATATATATATATATATATATAAATATATATGTATATATATACACTCTAGTATACATTAATATACATATATTCCTGTCTTGTGACATAGGTGGAAGCGCATTTTATGTGTATATGGTTATGGAAGTATATGATGAATATAGCATTTTCTCTATGTGATGCATAAATGTATGTGTAGAAGTGAACTGCAATTGAAAGCATATATATATATATATATATATATGTAAACAATGAATTTTTATCATATAGTACCAGCTCATAGAGAACAAGAGTATTTATCGAGTGTTTTGATAACGAATCAACGATTGCTGACTGACCCCAATAGTGCTTTTGTTTAGACGAATCAGAAGTTATTATCACCTCGTCTCCTTGTTTCATACAGAGACAGCCGCCATAGTACGTTTAACGCTTATCTCATCTCACTGGTAGATTAGGGAGATCACTGATCTTTGCTGATAAGCCCTCGATATAAAACAATAACAAAAAACCCCCCCCCCACTTTTTTGAACAGGTGTTTCCAATCTTCTAGTAGGTTGGAAAGCTATGTAATGCACTTCTATGTAGTAAATACTGTACATACTACTTCCACACTTAATAAACTTTATAGACCTCACAACATAGTTTCCCAATAGTTAATATGCGGTGTGTGGCTATGCCGGCTTTTGGCCTCTGTTAGTCAACTGCATCTGTACACATTTTTGTATGGTGAGCCTCTACTAAGTAAGTATACCAACAGATAGAATCACTATTCGAGAGACCATTGTACATCATGTCACAATCGGTATTGAAGTTCGTCAGTGAGATCGATCTATCGGATCTACAACTCGAAAAATATGATGCACTACCCTACGAGTCAGAGGAATTGGCTAGCGTCGAGAACTTATGCCTGGAGCGATTAAAACTCAACAAAATACCTCAGACGGTCTGTGATTTTAAAAAGATACAGAAGTTGTATATCTCAAATAATGATATCACAGGTTTTCCGAGAGCACTGAAGAATTTGAAAGCGTTACAGGTATGTGGGGAGAAATGGCTATTGTAGTTGCTTCCTTCCTAGCCCTCAGACACACGAATTCGTGTACATACCTGGTATATATACATATATATATTTATATATATATATATATATATATATATATATATATATCACTATAGTATATTCTATTACTTAAGCTACTTACTTTACT